CCAGCATGTCCTCATCTCGCGTGATGGCTCTTTCCTACCATTACAAAGTGGATAAACTCCACTTGGTTCATTTGATCACCCAAGAACTTCTAAGGGAACGCTTGGGATTGGAGCCAGTTTTTGATACTGCCCACTACATTTCTACCATAGTGGTGTGAATAGAAGTCTTTCCAAAAGTACCTGGTTATGGACTCCCCAGCAGCAGGGTTAAGGCATGATTCACTTCTGAATTGTACCACTCAACCCAGTATTATAGGGAACTTTTCATGGCAAACTGCCACAAAAATCCAGTATAAACTCAGCTTCAAGTTTATTTTGGTTTCGTAACAAAGGATTGCAAAACATACAAATTACTGATTTATCTAATTAAACGTTCTTTATATGCAATGCATCATTCATTAATCAACCGTTAATGATTTTTTTTGACCATGAGTAATTAACTCACAAAACTTGGTTTGATGCTTCTCCCAGCAAAAATATTGCAGTCATCACCGTGAGTGTCATTTTTCAAACTATCTTTTTAACTCCTTAACTGTGGTGTTCAATATACTCTGAGTCAAATATGTCAAATATTTTGTGAGGAGGCGTAAAGTGAAGCAGAGAATCAGGCGACAAACAAGTCTGTAAAATAATTTCTGATTCCTGAATCCTTCATATGTCTGTAGCCATTAATGCCATCGCTAATGTGATGCCTTCTATTTCAGGAGGTGGCGATAATGCTATTTAGTGGAGATTATGCACGTTACCTGCATCATCTGGAAAACAGGTCCATATCGACTGAATGCATGTTCTGGTCTCAACCACCCTTCCTGGCAACCTATTCCAGTCCTTAATTGCCCACTGGGTAAAGAAAAACTTCCAAGTGTCTCTCCTGAAACAGCCTTTTGGAAAACTAGACTTCTGGTCTCTTGTTCCACTGTCTCGGGATTTCCTTGTCTTGTTCTGAGGTGAGGTTAAAGAAAATATATTTTCAGAAAATACTGATTGGAAAGAATAGGATATAAAGGCCCCTTTTGGACTTTAGGCAGGGAATAATAAACCTAAATTCAAAAATATAAAAATTGTGCAGAGAGAGAATAGAGTTGAATAGATGACAAGAGCAGGCAAGGGATGCAAGAATCATTTTTTAAAACAAATAATTGTTTAATATCATATCAGTTTAAGGTCAATATTACAACAATAAAGGTCCCAATATTCAAGTAACTTAATTAGTGCAGTATTAGAATAGTTTCCAGTGTAACTGTACATGATCTGAAAGCTTACAGAAAAGTGGGAGTTTTACTACATATACTAGCACATGTAATGCCCACTCTCTATGTTACTGCATTTGAAATTGAAATTAGATCTGAAATGATTTCTACGCCCAGTATTTACGATCACACATGCTCCTCCATGATCTGGCTCACTGCTCATAAGGTGGTAAGCTTCCGTGTTAACAAGAGTGACAAACTCTCCTGTAGTCAGTCAGAGAGACTTCAGTGTTCATTTCTTAATGTTGGGTGGGTTATTCCACTCCTTACTGCCTGCTATTATTAGGGATAATAGTTGGTTGGAGGGATAGGTGCCTCTGTTGCTGAGTATTTTTGAACCTTGGTTTGCCATGTTCCCAGCAGGCATTTGTTCAGATTCACAGAGATATGGATTTCAGTTTCTATTGAACTGGATGCAAAGAATAAAAAGAAGGATCAACAGAAATTACAATGTCTCATAAGTGACAATTACTAATGAGTTCCCGGAATAAGGAAAACAAAAATATGTCACATCAATTCATAGGAACCCTGCTGCATTGCAATTTACTTTAAGATAAATGTTCCTGGCATTGGCATGACACATTTTGGTTATGGAAGGACTTAGAAATCACCAAATATTAGACTCTTAACACTTTACATTTCTCTCGATATTCCTCAAATGCTCCCTTCAACCCATAATTTCCAGGTTTGAAGGACAATGCTGCCTTTCATTATTACTTTATTTATGGAGGCAGTCGAGAAATCTACCAGCTATAGTCAAGACTTTTGGAATGCCTCCAAACAGTGTGAAAATGAATAATAGTAATCACCACGTGCATTAGAAATGCATTGTCCTCAAGAATATGTTTGAGACTAATTAGGAAAAGCCCCAGATCCAAATAAATCTGTCTGAGATTAAATAAATGAAGAGGTATTTTCTCTGTTGCAAGGCAACCTCTTGCTTTGGTGTCACTGGGACACCAGAGATTGGAAACAAGGGATATGTGGTAATTAAAGACAATGGGTTATGTCTCTATCCAATCATACTCATGCCTATTTACATGAAAAACATATAAAGCATGTTCTTTCCAATTGCACAGGAAGAGTTATGTGATATTGACTATGAAGACTAATGATGTAGATAGTATATAGTTGCAACATTAACAATAAACTTTAATTTTAACAGCAAGACAAGATCCTAAACTGCTGAATTCTTGAAGCAGTTGTTAATGAGATTTAACCTCAGCACTGGTTTGCTTCTCGAAGTCTGCTTATATCACACAAATCCAATGGATTACCTTTCAAAGAATCCCCTCACTCTTCTTAATGTGCCCACATCATCTCACACAGCAAATCTAGACTGATGTTAGGATGTACACCAATGCACACCTTGCAATCCAGGTTTTGCCCATTTTAGTTAGAGAATTGTGAAAAATTCCAAATGAATCTGAATGGGACAGTGTATAGACTTAAAAAAGGTTGTGACTACTTTATTTTTTTAAGGAAAGCTTATTTGTTTACAAGAACTTAGAAGAAGTTGGAGAACTGTCTTGAAGGCATCAAAAAGCCATGCCTCCTAGCCTGCAAAGTAGAAGCGGGAAAATGTAATGCATCTCTACTAAAGAATCTTGCAATTATATCATATTGAAACGTCCTAAATGTCTCAACAGAGATTTCTGTAATTTTTCATGAATGTATACATGTAGGTGACCAGCAGCCAATGTGCACACAGGAATATCGCACAAACAGCCATGAGGTGAATGAACAATTTTCTTTTACCTGAGGAGTTATTTACCAGCACACCGGAGGAAACTCGCTTTTCTTTTCAAATAGTGGCCGGGGATCTCTAACATCCACCTGAACAGGCAGAAGGAACCTCCTTTGGATGTCAAATCTGAATAACGGTTCATTCAACAAACCAGTGCATCCGAACCACCTGCTTGGAGCAGGCTTGAACTCACAACCTTCTGACAGTGAAATTACTACCAACTGAACCAAGCTGACACCTAAAGCACGGAAGTGTATATTCTATGGATGTTCTATGACACCTATGAACTATATATTCAATGGATGCTTTATTCATTATCTATATCTATTTCAGCAACTTTACTCAAAAAAGATAGGGTCTATACGTTACCACTATATGTTACCACTAAAGTAAAATATAATTTAAATCAATGAAAAAATGCAAAAAGAAAAGTCATTTGCAGTGTATTTTCTTTACAATCATGTAATATTTGATAGGATTCTCTGCACATCACTGTCTAGTAGTACACATGATGTCTTTTAATGTTTGCTTTGGGTTATTTGATGGTTTACAAATATTTACATCATGCTTTACCACTGTATTCAACAAATCGGATTAAATGGGCTTCTCTGCAAGCCCGGTTTTGTAGCAGTAGGTCAAGGGACAGTACAACTGTTTTACCCTTTGAACCCACAGAATAGTGGAGAAACTGCACTTTTGGTTAAGCGATCAGATTTTTGGCACTCATTATCCAAACAATCTTGCAGATTTTAGTCGAGTACTATGAAAATGCGTAACTTGATTATATGTTAGCAAAGGCTGCAAGCAAGGAAAAATACATGTGTAATAGCCTAACATTAACAAACTTTGCAGCTTGAATATGAGTTATCTGCACATATTACAAAATTATCATGCCCATATGTTAACATATCAGGTTGGACCAACAAATGTCTTCTTTCAGTAGTTCATGAGTGGTTTGAAAGGCTGTTCATCAATGTATAAAGTAGAAGCTTCTAGAATTCATATAGGCATACAGGCATAGGAACACTGGTACAGTCAGTTGCATTGCATATATTGGCTATGCCAAATAGTTTATAAAAGGTTTGCATAATTCAAGTACAGTATGTTCCATCAGCAGGAAATTTAATAATGCGTGGTGCTCTTCTGTCAATGCATCAATTACCATTATTATTGAGTGACTTACGAACTGCTGGCTAAGACCTACAATGTCACCTACTCAAGTCTAAAATAACCCAGAGGCAAGAAAAAAAGAATCCAAGAGCAGCAAAAAATGGAACCTCAAGGGACAGTCTTCTTGTTCTCAGAATCCTCGGAGACAGGGTGTCCTTTAACGTGTCCACAAGGCAATCAACTGTAGCACCTGAGATATGAAACCTTTTATCCTTCAATAACAAGTCATTGGAGAAATGAGAACTAGCTGCTCCCATTCTGTTTGTGGGACACTGCTGTGCGCAATTGTTTTGCGTTTCGCCCACAAAATACACAGTAAATCCATTTCACAATATATTCCGTGAAGTGCAGAGTTATTATTATTATTATTATTATTGTTTTGATCAGCTATGCCAGGTATCCAAAGTCCAAACTGATGACAACAGCAACAACAAAATACAAAGGCAATGAATTACTCCCACACCTTGAACTCTGTATTGACTTATGTCCATATTGCACCACCTAATAATAATGTATTTCTGATAAATTATTGTACACACGAGTTTGTGAGAATTAAAGCTTTAAACCCTGCATTGAAATGTATTTAGTGAAAACAAAAACAGCGAGGTGAAAGTTTTAAATGAACATAAAATTCCTCTCAGCTTCATTAAACTGGAGAAACCAAAATTGGTGCAGTTCAATGAAACATGTACAAGATAGGATGTACGAATCATTTGAGACGATTCATTCTTATTCAATCACACTGAAAATATAGCATTCGATTTGGCTGAACTCTATCATTTCAAAGCCAGTTGAGTACAGACAAACCTGATGGAGTATACCTTCATGAGATACTCTGAACATGTGACTGATGTCAGCCAATTATCCTTATCAGTGTCTCATCAGCAGAATGGGAATCATCCTTCAAGACTGACCAGATGTTGGAAAAAAAGGGAAACCTGCCAGCTCTGGTCTTTCCAATGGAGAGATCCCCATCACAGTCCCAACTCATTTATTTCTTCATATAAGATCAAATACCAGTGAAGCACTTCCCCATCTACTTGTGCACGTCTTTCAATGATCCTTTATCTGCGACATATATAATCGAATCCCTCCTGAGGTTGTATACTGCTTTCTAAAATAGAATTAAAGAGCATTTCATGACAATTAGTTCAGGTTTGGTATTTGAAATTTTGATATCTCAAATATTTGTGTCCTTAAAATGTCACTACTGTGAGAATTCTACCACCAGGTAGTTCAAATATACTGGTAATGAAACAGACACGTTTATTTCACTAAAATTAAACATTTTTTCCCAAGTGTGAGCCCCAGAAGGGGGGGGGTGGAGGGGTAAGCGGAGAGCATCAGTCCAGAGATATGGTGGGGCCCATGATTGCTTCAGTACATTGCTAAGATGGCATCATGAGACACTGCACCACAGATATACAGATAGGGCCATTTGTACAATAGGTACAATAATGATTATGATCAGCAAGTAGAATAAATACTTGCACTTTCACCTCGTGAACTGAGTGTCACTGCCTGTATTACTCAGTAAGTCATACTATAATCAGTCCTTGAGAACACAGTGGTTCTTCCCAAAGAGCAACCATAAAAATACTGTACAGTATAAATTTGTTTTTTTTCTTTGCACAGCTGCATGAAATAACTAACATTCTACAGTACCTCCTTAAATCACAAGCTGCGTGTTGGCAATTCAACAGCAGATGACGTGAGTGTTGAAGAGGTTAACTGTTGATGGGTGAGACAAGTAACAGGGACATAGACATTTTCTGCGAGGAGACGAGTCAATTGGCTCATGCATATGTGCCACTGAGTGAATGTTTTCAAATTGCTAACAGCCATGAGAATCAACCTTGTGGCTAATCATGGCTCCAGATTCACATAATTGCAATTAGACAAGTATGAATTCATACAGAGGAATTTTAATATAGCATTTGAAAAAAAAAGTCAAACCAGTTTTTTTTTTAAAAAAAGGAATGTTGCCAATAAGCTTTTCAGTCTAGTGCCTTAAGGTCTGACTTCCAATGGTAACAACCGATTCCTGCCTTCCAGATACATGCTCCAGGTAACGTTTAGAACTGAGCTATCTTGGAATATCCACTGATACATACATTTGCCTGACAAACAAGATAGAAATCAGATCAGACTCCGGAGAATTTTAAGAATGAAAGGGAATGATTGAAAGGCGCTCAGACTCACAATCAATTAAAGAGCCATTGCTTGAAAGAAACTTATGTTAAAGTCGTTCTATAGCTGCAGGCAGCACTGGATTTTTGCAAGGACATGTCAATTTATATATATATTATATATATATGTATATATATAGGGTAAACACGTTGCTACAAAAATGACTTAACTTGAACGTGTATTCAATATGATATCTGCCACACGCGTGTTAACAGCAAACTTTCTTAAGTAAGAGTTTTTAATTGAATTGTAAAGATTGTTTTGTGGGAATAAAAAGGGGTGGATTGATGCACACAGGGTACAAGTGGCTGCATAAAAAGTTGCCTGCATTGTTCTGCCTCACCAGAAACTGACACCCACTTTCTGAGCAAGCGATGGCTTTTTTTTTCTTTGCGCTGTGTGGCAAAAAAAAAATATCGGTTCGCAAAATCTAACCATTCCGAAAGAATTCTGAAAGAAGTATCGAGGAAAGAAAGACCTCAACAGAATTAGCTCAGGTATAATTTGTCTGCACTAACCTCCCCTGGCACTGATCTGTCAATTGGGCAGAATTTGCCAAAATACACCAACGCGTTTCTTTTTACACACAAAAAAACACATCGTTATTGAGAACCGACACCGAGTTCGCAAGTGCAATAATAATTCCCGTACCCAATAAATGATTTTATTGTTTTGTTTTCACGACCCGAAGTGCTTAATTTGTCGGGGACTTCTGTGAATCAATGATTTTTTTTTATTGTTGAAATAAATATGCATTTCAATACACCTATTTTACAGGTCTTCTTCGCTCTCGTTTGTTCCTCCCACTGCTATATAAAAAAAAGGGACTTCGTTTAAAATGTTGTTTTTTTTTTGTAAAAAAAAATAGTATTCTCCGTGGGCTCTTTACAGAAAATGATCAAATGTGTTGTAGTAAAAATGCGGCTGATTGAAGAGGGAGACAACAACATTTGTAATATTTTCTTTTGGGCGATGGAGTGATTTAACACTGTCACCCTGTGGTTCATTGCTGATGGAAAGCGAATGTAAGGTGTGCTTCATTTGCCGAATAATACATTAGATCCATTCCTCTCTCAACCTGCCCTGCACAGACCTGGTATCTAAAGTTCCCCCAGTTGCAACGTACATTACACAAATGACACAAAATGAGGGGGAAAAAAGAACTGACCTTTTAATGCATCAAAGTGCAAATCATCAGCACAAGAGTGCAGACACAGCATTGTTTTAGCAGAGAGTTAGTTACTGCGAAATTCACAGTCGGAGTTTACAGCACTAAATGTTATTTAGCTTCAAAGTAAACTGCAATGCTTATTGGCTTTCTGTTGGCATAGTTTTGTGTTTACTCCTTCGTGCTGTTGGGTGGCTCTCTGTTAAAAAAATTTTTGGGGGGTCAGTTTCAAAACTAAGAGTTTAGTTTATAACTTTTTTTAAAAAAACACAGAGCGATTGGACTTTCAGCTCCTTGGCTTTGGGCGATGCTCTGTCGCCGTTTTCATCGCACATACCTTCCTCACCTGATGAAAAGAGAGGTGCATTAGGGCCCAACAGATTCCTTAGGAATTACTTTAACTAACATATTAAGAGGGTAATTTTACATTCTCGTAAGGCTACGGCACACACTTTTAAACTCCCACGTTTTCAATTGCAAACATCAACTTGAATCCACGCTGTGGCTATTTGCCAGTGTTGGGAGAGAGTTTGAGATGCTGTGATTTTTCCCCCCACCTCTTTCCCCAAAATGAAATTCCTTTACCCCGGGCTAAGCTAATGATCTGCTAATAAGATGTGAAACAGGATATGATCTGTACGTGAATACACCGGATGCATATAAATATAGCCACAAAGCAGAGAGAAAAAAATGCCTCGGTCTTTTGCAGAACGCTGAGACGCACTGACATCCAGTGAAATAAAATGCTTGACAGAGCTCAAAATGAACTGATCAAATATGTGTGTCAGATCGTCTGCGAGGCATCAGCTCAAACCAGAGCGACTTTCAGAGGAATCATAATCTCTGTCCACTACATACAACGTCAAACCACCAGCCTCTCTCGCCTGCTTCCAGCACAAAGCTGCTTTGCTGGGGGGGGATGAATGCAAGATCTAGTCTGGTAGATTTATTGTTAGGACTCCAGAAACTGCACAGAACCCGCCCAAATCATTACAATCACGACTGGAAAGGTATAAAAATCCACAACTATCACTCATCTGGGAGCCAGGCAGAGCAAAGGACTTCAACAGAGGGGCTGAAGGATACCCTACCCTCCCACTCTAGGACATTTGACTTCTGCAGGAACTTGAACAGGATGTCTGTCTTACCTGAACTCCCCCCACTCCCCCCTTATCACCACACACACACACACACACATTCTTATGCATTGCAAAGATTTGCTCGCAGTGGCTCTGCAGAAGTGTTCGTCCACACAGACCCCACACATTAGTCAATTTCACGCTAATAGAATCATTCTGAAGATCATTTTAATATCCCGCCGCAAACGAAATCAATTGTTAGTGCCGAAAAAAGTCAAAGTTACCAAGGCACATCGGAGGCTTTTTAATTTAATTAAAAAAAAATTTTTTTTAAAAAAAAGGCCGATGTGATTGTAAAGAGTTTGATGCGTCTGTAACACGAAGGAGAGACAAGTGGTGGTGGTGGTGGTGGGGGGTGGGGGGGAGATCCCAGGAAAACGCTCAATCGAATTTCGGCATGTAATCTCTATTGATTATTTGGCGTTGGGGTGATGGTTAATTCGTAGTCCCCAGACACTCGGGTAAATGGGTAATTAAAAGTGTCATCTTCAACCTTTTTCGCACTGCACAGTCTGCGATTCGCATGTGATGCCTTTCGCCTTCTGAAAGCGAAACGTTTTCGAGACCAGCAACTTCAACACCTGCATCTCTCTGTCTGTCCACCCACACACACACACACACACAAACACACACACAAACACACACACACAGCAAAAAAATAAATTAAAATAAGCCAAGGGAAAAATATATATCCTTTGAGCTTTGTCATCTACCGAATAATTCTTTACGGCGGCGCGTTAGATTCTTGCAAATGTTGGAACAAGTAACTCAAGTGGTATTTTTTTAAAAAAAAACAATATTGTGTAGTTCTAAACTTTGCGGTGCCCAACGCTGACTGTGACTTCAACGCATGTTGCGACGATGGGGGTTAGAAAGAAAGTACAGAAATCAAGGGCTTGTTCATTCATTTCATCTCATTTCATTCATTTTCATTCATTCATTCATTTTCATTCATTCATTTTCATTCATTCATTCATTCATTCATTCATATCCCGCAATGCCCAGGTCACACCTGTATTACCTGACGGGAGATGGAGACATGTCAACCCGATCATTTGACTTTGATTTGCAATAAAGTATTTCACGATGGTTTTGGGGAGGACAGGGAGGTTCTGCTTATTCAAGATCACAGCTACCAGAGCTAGTTTTGACGGGCAAGGTGTGTGTGTTTTCATCGGGGGAGGGTGTGTGTGTGTGTGTTTGTATGTGTGTATGTGTGTGTGGTGTGGGTGGGGGATGTGTGTGTGTGTGTGTGTGAGTCTGTTGCAGCAAATCGTGTTGATTTCACCGCATTGAAAACGATACCCCAAAAAAAGTGCGGGGCGGGTGGGTGAGTGGGTGAGTGGAGGATGAAACAATGTGATGGACTGATGGATGGATTGGACCAGATAGTGCATTTTACAATTAGAATTGAAGTGGCAGATCCTGCGCCTATTCCGGTGTCGATCTGAATCAATGCAGCTTATTCTACATATCGCTTCTCGAGGGATTTCACGTCCAACTCTGGTCACCAGCACCCGCCGATCTATTACTTTTATTTAGTTTGACCGTCAGCCGAAAACTTTCGTGTGTCGTGTGCATTTGCCACCGAGATCACACGTAAGTGTCTCGGGAGCGTTGGGTCGTTATTCGTTGTCCTGTGATCCAACGCTTTCTCAACGATATTAGCCACACACAAAAAAACTTCGCTGAAAAAAGCAACTGAACGGCAACATAACGCCACGCTTTGCATTACTTTTCTCTCTTTTTTTTCACACACACACAAAAAAATACACAAATCCGTCACAGCTTTGTGGGAAAAAACACACACACACGTCGCCAATTACCTCGAGAGTACAATGTTATATTTTGGTGGTGGGTGTGTGTGTGTGTGTGTGTGGGGGGGGGGGGGGGGGGGATAAAATAAAGCTAGTTACCAAATGCACACACACACACACACATACATACATACACACACACATACATACATACACACACACAGACAGAGGTGCGTACAAAGTGAAGCCGCTGTCATAGATTTTAAGGGGCGACGTGGGACAAATGGAGTGGGGTTTGTGGGAGCAATTTTTAAATGAAGGGTCGAAACTGAAAAGTTACGGCTTTTACTTCCCCTTTCTCTCTCTCTCTCTCTCTCTCCCGTGTGTGTGTGTGTGTGTGGATGTATGTGTGTGTGTGGATATATGTGTGTGTGGATGTATGTGTGTATGTGTGTGTGTGTGGATGTGTGTGTGTATGTGTATGGATGTGTGTCTGTGTGTGTGCGTGTGGATGTGTGTGTGTGTCTGTGTGTGTGGATGTGTGTGTATGGATGTGTGTCTGTGTGTGTGGATGTGTGTGTGTGTCTGTGTGTGTGTGTGTGGATGTGTGTGTGTGTGTCTGTGTGTGTGTGTGTGTGTGTGCGTGTGGATTCGCAGCTCAAGTTGGACTCGGGCGGCAGTGATTGCGAGGTGAGCTTGTTGTTACTGTGTTTGTAAGTGCGTGACTGTGTTTGTGTTGTGTTGGGTGTTGTGTTTGTGTTGTATGTATGTGTGTGTGTGTGTGTGTGTTGTGTTGTGTCTCACACTGAGAGCCGGTGCTGTGGTTGTTTGGGGAGTGTTGCCACCCCGGCGTGACACTGATGGATGCGCCAATGGTTAAGACGGACAGATGTTCAGGGCGGATCTAACGGAATGTCTGCACGTCGAGATTGGGCTAAAACCATCCCGATTCCGTGAAAGTCACTTAGTCAGCCCAAAAGGCGAGCCGGGGTAGGTAGCACGCAGGTCGCCGTCTCTCTCTCTCTCTCTCTCTGTGTCTGTCTGTGTGTGTGTGTGTGTGTGTGTTGTGTGTGTTGTTGTGTGTTTTTTTCGCGAGAGGGGTCGGATCGCTTCCTTTCTCGGATCGGATCGGACTGACTGTGCGAAGAAAGAAAAAAAGAAAGAAAGAAGAGAGAGAGAGAGAGAGAAAGAGAAAGAGAGATTCTCCTCTCCTTTTTTTTTGCTAAGACGGGACACGAGAATGAAGCTGCTCAAATTTGGCAGGAGAAGCAGAATTTGACAACTCACCACTTTTTCTTTCTTTCTTTTTCTTTCTTTCTCTCTCTCCTCTCTTCTCCTCCTCTTCTCTCCCTCCCTCCCTCCCCCCCACCCCTTTTTTTTTCTCTCTCTCTCTCTCTCCCTCCCTCTCTCTCTCTTTCATTCTCGTTGAAGCAATTCGTCATTTGCAGGGAAGCACCCACACAACACTTGCTGGGGGGTGGGGGGGTGGGGGGGTGGGGGGGGGGAGGGGTGGGGGTGGGGGGGGGGGAGTCGACGATTTTCATTCATCCTGTGACAAGCTGGAGGAGAGAGAGAAAGAGAGAGAGAGAGAGAGAGAGAAAAAAAACAAGACAACTTAAGAGCCATCGACATTGAGCTCCCAAGTCAAGGGGATCTCATTCAGTCCGAGCAACTTGGCGAGAGAGAGAGAGAGAGAGGGAGGGAGAGAGAGAGAGAGAGAGAGAACGAGAAAGAAAGAGAGAGAGACAGAGAGAGAGATAGAAAGAAGAAAAGGGGGGAAATAAACCCCGAAAGAGACAGGAATAAACCCCCGGCTCGGCGCAGTGTGAAGTTATGACGCAGGATATTTAAATCTGCCCAGTTTTTTTTTTTTGGGGGGGGGGGGAGAGGGAGGGAGGGAGGGAGAGAGAGAGAGAGGGGGGGGAAGAGAAACATTTTTGGAATGATTCCAGGACTTGAAAGAACGGGGAAGGTTGGCGATTTCTGATCTTACCGTCGTCAACAGTTCACCTCTTTTCCTGGTTCGCCCTCCTGCTCAACTCGTGTAAGACAATTTTGCCCACTGTCTGTCTGTCTGTCTGTCTGTCTGTCTGTCTGTCTGCCTTTGCCTCTGCCTCTGCCTTCGCCTGACATCTATCAAAAGAAAGCGTTTGGGACACACACACACACAGAGAGAGAGAGAGAGAGAGAGAGAAAAAGAAAAAAAAATCAACCCCTGATCTTGCTTTTGCTGTCATTAAATACCTCTCTGCCAACAAAAAAAAAGAGAGAGGAGGTGGTGGTGGTGGTGGTGGGGAGGGGGGAGGGGAGGGGGGGGGGTGGTGGGGGGGGGGAGGGGGGGGTAAGGAAAGTGCAATTGGTAGCCAAGAAACTGTTTGGCAATTTGCTGATCTATGTTCGCAAAGCACTTGAACACAGTTCCAGTCCGTCCCCTTCTTTCTGATGTTCATTTCCGTAAGGGACGCGCAATCGAGCTCAAACCTCATCGATCCTCGTCTAAATGGAGGTTTTCCTGAAAGGCATTTCGGCCAAAAAGATCTTCCAGCGGACAGTTCAATCAGCAGGAAAGTAGTGGTGGGTTTGGCCCGAGGAACCCCATCGCCACCGCCGCCGCCGCCGCCGCCACCATCACCATCACCTTCAGAGCAAGGCGTTCAAGCTTGAAGAATTAGGACACTCTTCCCTCTCCCTCCCCCCCCCTCCCTCCCCCCCCCCCTCTCCCCCCCACCCTCTTCCCCCACCCACCCACTACTCCTCCACCCCCACCCACCCCCTCCCCCTCCCCTCCATTCCCAAGTTTGCCCACAGGCGCTGCTCGGATTCTCTAAGTGTTTTTTTTTGGGGGGGGAGAGAGGGCGTCATCAAGGTGGGGGGACAAAAAAAAAAGCGACTGGTTATTCTCTTCCCCCCACCACCACCACCTCCCCACCCAGAAACTACTGGCAAATCATACGAAGGATTCCCCACACCCCCCACCACCCACCCCCCACACCTCACACCCCGAAAAAAAAATGTAAGTAAAGACTCGTTTAACCACCAACACTTTTCCAGGCCATTCGTTAAAAGAGTGTGAATGCAAAGACAGACTGACATGTCCAGGAATGATGATGATGATGATGATGATGGTGTGTGTGTGTGTGTGTGTGTGTGAGAGGGGTGGGATGGGGGGGGGGGTGGGGGATGGGGGGGGGGGGTGGGGGATGGGGGGGGGGAGAGAGAGATGATACCAAAAGAAAAATAATCCCAAGTTCTATCATATTGTCGCATGGTTCCTCCTCCTCCCCTCTTCCTCTGAAGGAATATGTTGGATAAACTTTGGGGGTGGTTTTTTGTTGTTGTTGTTGTTGCTCCATTTCCCTCCCTCCCCCATAAAATAAAAAGTAACTATTTTGTTTTATATATATATATATATGTATGTATATATAAAAAAAATACATACACATGTGTCTTGTGGGAAACGTGACCCCCACTGAGTTGGGCGCTTTCGTTTGCTGGATACCATTCTGTTGGGGAAAAAAAGATGCACACAGTGGGTGAATAAATCAGTGGGGGGGGGGTTCGTTCCCATCGCATGAGAATGCTGGTGAGTTGAGTGGTGGGGTGTGTGTGTGTGTGCGTGTGTGTGTGTATATGGGTGTGTGTGTGTGTGGAGTGGGAATGGAGGGTGGGTGGTGGAGGGGGGGGTGTTGTGGGGGGGGGGTGGGGGGGGGGGGTGGGGGGTGTGGCGGTGGGTTGTGGAAGTTGACAGTTAAAGAGTGCCGACTTTGGGTGACGCGATGATCTGGTTTTCTTTTAAGCTTGCCTGTTGCAGCTCCCACACTGAGAGCCTGTGCCTTGTGCCTGCGAGTGAGAGGCGAGGAGATGGTGTAGCAGGAGAGGGGGAGAGGAGAGAGAGAGAGAGAGAGGGGGAGACAGAGAGAGAGAGAGAGAGAGAGGGAGGGAGACAGAGAGAGAGAGAGAGAGAGAGAGGGAGCGAACCCTGTGTGTGTGTGTGTGTGTGTGTGTGCAGTAGTAGTAGTAGCAGTAGTGTACATGTGTGCGTGTGCGTGTATGTGTGTGCAATAGATAGTCTGTATGTGGATGCCTGTGCGCGTGTGTCTCTCCCTCCCTCTCAGCCCACCACCACCACCACCACCCACCACCCACCCACCCCTCCACCCCCCACTCTCTCTCTCTCTCTCTCTCTGAGTGTGTCTCTCTGCCCGATCCGCCAGCAGCCCGGAGCCCCGTGTCGTTTGCATGCGAACGCCGCCTGCCCCCCGGCACGGCCACCTTGGAAGGAGTTGGGAATCTGTCGAGCTACTACTAACTCTGGCCAACATGCCGAGGAGGAAGCAGCAGGAGCCCAGGCGCTCAGCAGGTACGAGACTTGGCCCCCAAACCAAACCAAACCAAACCAAAAAAAAAAATAATAATAATAATTTTTTTTAAAAAAAAAATTTTTTTTTTTTTTTTTTTTTGGGTGCGTGTTGTTGTTGTTGTTGTCGTGTTGTTTGCACATCCTATTATCTCTGATCACTCTCTTATCTGTCTATATTATACTGGTTTTTTTTTGGGGGGGGGGTGGAGGGAGGAGGGGTTGGTGGTGGGGGGGGGGGGAGGGGGGGGAGAGGAATCAGATTTTATCTTTACCCCCCTCCTCCTCCTCCTCCTGTCCTCTCCTCCCCTCCAAAAAAAAAGCAGAGGGAGAGAGACATAAAATCCTCATTTATATTATGCTTTTGTATATATATATATATATGTGTGTGTGTGTGAAAAAATAACTTGTGGCAAGTCGCCCCGATTTCGGACGATCAGAAGGATGAAAAGAGGAAGAAGAAAAAAAAAGGGGGGAGTTGATGGTGGTGGGAAAAGAGAGAGAGAGAGAGAGAGAGAGAGGGAACCGAACCCCACACACACTCACACACACACATACACACTCACACACATACACACTCACACAAAAGAAGAGTTTGTCAGCTGACACTCAGCTCACTGTGACTGACAGCGCTCTGGGGGTTTTGTGTGTGTGTACTTTTTATGCTCTTTATGAAGAAGAGGAAGAAGAAGAAGAAAAAAACGTCAAGTCCAGTTAAGTTTCCCCCCCCCCCCTCCTCCCCTCCCCTCCTCCTCCCCCTTCCTTCCTTCCTTCTCTCTCTCTCTCTCTCTTGCGCGCTCTCTCTGTCTATTTCTCTCTCCTTCCTTCTTTCTGTTGGTGAGCAAAAACTAGGAAGCTCCACAGTCAACAATGGGGGTTGGCAGAATGCAACTGGGAGGGTTTCCCCCCCTCTCTCCTTCTCTCTCTCTCTCTCGCTCTCTCTCTATCTACACAGACAATTGCCATCCTTGGTTTGATGCGTGATTGATCGCCTGTCATCCGGCGTCCTTTGATCTATTCATTCCCGATAAACATCAATAAATCACTCACCATGGCAACGCACATGCCCATGACGTAACACCTGCCCTGTCATCTCCCTCTCGAACCACTTCACTTTTTTTTCAAAGAAAAAGAGATAAAAAAATATGTTAAAGCTGCAAATCTGGGGTGTGTGTGTGTGTGTGTGTGTGCGCGCCCGCGAGAGAGAGAGAGAGAGAGAGGGAGAGCGAGAGAGGTGAAATCAGACAAGTTGGGGATGAAACTGACTCCCGCACACACACACACACACATCACTCTTAAGATTTCCACACCCACATTCCGCACCCCAAGATCTTCGCGCGCACACACACACAGACACGCAAACTTAAATGCATGTCTTCTTCCAAGAGATGGAAGAATGGGACTGCTCTATCAAAATGACCCGTCAAAACGACTTTGTTTCATATTTGATTTAATTGTCTCTCTCCTGACAGGCACATTCATCAATAGCTTAATGGTCAATCAGAAGTTGGCAGAGTGAGTGCTTTCATTCTTTCCCATACACTGGCTTTGGCGTACTTTATCAAAATGCCTTTGCCTAATGGATATGGGGAAAGGGGGGGTGTTGATGACTGAAAGACCACTTATTTAAAAAGAGGGAAAAAAGGGTATTTACGCTGCTGATGGGTAGATGAAGACAAATTAGTGAGCGGTGCATGCTTTTCCCCCCCCCTCTGTTTTGTTAGAGGCACAGGAACTTCCTGTAATTTTTTCTCTCCCTCTCTCTCTCTCTCTTGGCCCTCACAGCTGCAAGTTATAAGGTTCATGACTGCTTTGTGGCTTACAAAGAGTGATGACAAATTGATTGCTCTGTAGTGATGGAAGTAGCACACACACATACACACAGACATACACAGATACACACACACACACACATTACACACACACGGAACAAAAGATGTCGTCTGATGTGCTCTGATGGTAACTTCGGGAAATCATTCTCCAGCAACCTTGTGCGCATTGAGTACACACAAGATTTCCCAAACTGAAAGGTCCGCTCAGCCGTAAAAAAAGAAAAGTTGTTTTGCCAGCTTCATTAGTGTTCACCTAATTAGCTGTAAACCTGATGGATTCCTGACAGGTTTAATGATTGGAGATGACAAGCTCCACGCACTGTCATACAGCAGAATTAGGTTTGCAGCGAGTTTGATGTAATCAAGTTGATATTACACAGTCCTAGTTGCCTTTAGTTGTGCATTAACTCAATTTTCTGCTGCAGGTGACAAATGGGCTTTGGTACCTGGATAATCATGTCACAGGAATTAGGGCCTTTTAATGGTCTCTAGTAGAAATAACAACAACAATGAACAACCCCCAGCAATGGTGGTTTTGTAGGCGTAACAGACAGGTGCGCAAATTCTTTATGTCTCGCTCCACTGTGACAGCACATTGTGAATCGTCTAATAGAGAAGACGAAAACTGTCGCCAAGAATCAAGAATCTGAAAAAAGATTGATTTAGTTTCTGGACGCAATAGGAAAGAAATCAACAGCGATCAGAGAAAACAGTGTATGCAGTGTAATATACTTTTTAACAAATCAAAAATAGGTTGTGGGGAGGACAGTGAAACGCATATTTGAACGAGAAATGATTTTCTAGTTATCTTACATTAGCTTTAGACAGCATCATTCTATTCTTGTGAACAGATGAATGTAAGAATAAACAGCTTTCAAATCGAATTTTAAAAAGTAGCGGTGAGTGTAGAAATAACGGAGAACATTATTGAAGCGTGCAATGCATTAACTTTTCAGTTTTGCTGCCATGGTACATAAAAGTTTAAAATTTATGTGCCAACAATGTTATCCCGCCCAGATGCGGAGCGATCTTAGAGAAAGGAGAGTGTATCAATCACGGAGATAAACTAGGTGAAGCAGAAACTGATACTGTATTCATTGGATTAAAATAATCTGTTTAGTTGTTATTGCCAGCAGCCCAAACATGAAGGAAGCAGCGAGAGGTAGAGTACCTACAGAGGTACTTGTGGCCGACTGTTGCAGTATTATTTGCCTGCAAACCTGCCACACATTGCTCTGCAGGATGGAGATTCTCCCTAGCAGCCAGCTGACAGAATGATTAGTTATGGCCGTTCTCAGCTTTTGCAAGGAATGAACAACAAAGAGAAAAAAAAAGAGGGGGGAAAAAGAAAAAGCATAACCATAAGACTGCCTGAAAGTTTCTTCCAAATATTTAGCCAGTAAACAGAATTTTCCAGAATCAACTGCCATTGCTTCCATTAGCTTGACAGCTGTCAATTAAGGCTTCAGTGCTCTCCTGGGCAACAGTTTATTGCATACAGTTGATGCTGTCATTTTGTTCCCAGTTTTGCCTTGAGCACTATCATGAGCAGGAGTGAAGTAGTCAATAACTGATGTATCAGCAGTTATTTCTTAAATTGGCTCACAAGTCTGCATTTTTCTTTTGCTAAAGATTGTTTTGTAAAGTGATTAGAATGAATTGTGACTGCTGCAGGGTTATGGGAATGCAGTGAAGCCAGGGTGAGTTAGCAGGATGAGACTGGTTCATTTTGCAACAATGTGGCTCAGAGGATTGTTAGGGTTGGGTTAGGAGAGGGGAAAAAGCGTGAAGTTTTACATCCATCAATCCATTGGTTTTATTATTTCAAATGCAGAGTTCAGAAAGGATTCATTGATTGGCGTGTAATCCACAAAGTACTATGCGCCACATACTCGACAGTCAGCTTTCAAGTAAAGGTGCAATACTTAGAAAGAATGCTTTGAATGACTAACTTCCTTTTTTATATGTAATTATAAATTATTAATCTGTATTGTCAGGGCACATGTTATCAATTATGAATATCTGGTTTCATCACTCAGAGCAGCTGTTCAGGAAGGGGGAAGCGACTGAGTTACTTTGTTTTATAGTGTGGGGGTGTTTTCTTATTCATTGACAAACGCACTGTTTCTCCTTAAATCACTTTGTTAGCCGTTCTCTCACCCAAAAAAAACCAAAACGCATGTATTCTTAGCTGCAGTGGGTCTATTTTTAGATGTCGTCAGCATTCAAGGAAGAAGTAATTATGAAATAAGTTAGACAGCACAACACCCTGAAAACTGACTTCCAGACATATGTGAGTAAGGCCACTTCAAGAGCTCGCCAGTTCCCACACCACATCCTTACTCTGGGTCCGAGATGGTCCCACTTACATTTCAAACACAGCGGAGCAGCTCTGTGCACTGATAATCCATGCCTGCATGAGGAGCGCTGGCCAGTCACGAGACTTTGTTATATTTGAAATTCACACGTAGGAAGGGCTGGGTCGGAGCCAATTGAGGACATCACGTGTCATTGGCAGCCGTAAACCAACGTCTTCATTTCCATGGGGATGGCAAGGCTGACGGGATATCAGCACCGGTTTCATGCCACCCCGCTGTCTTCACATGCAAGTTGCCAGTCGCCAAACATTACAAAACCTAGGGATCAGGAGGCGAAGCTTAATGCTGGTTTGATACCAATGCGTTATCCCAGGAAGGTTTACAGTCTCAGCTTGCGGCCACAATGGACAGACACCATGCCGTCTTTACGTAAAGTAGGTTGTATAAATAGTGGGTTTCTCCACAGTTATTTATCAACCAGGTAAACTGCCCTTTTTGAAATTAAATGGTGCTGCAGTATTTGAATAATACAAATATGTTTTTGAGATTCTGCTTGACAAATTTGGCAAAGTGTGAAATGAACACCAGCAAAGGCAGCAGGTACATGTTTTGTACGTAAGCAAGTGTAGACAAGATATTTATCTTCAAGGTATTTATCAACTACTTTTACATATGATGAATAATATTAATGGGGCTTGATTGTATGGCGTAAAGGAGCCACTCAGTGATAGCATGTGCTGGAGGTGTGTTCACCTGCAAAAACTCAAAGAGGTTCTAATTCCTTTGTTCTCTCCTGTTATGTGAAGTACTGTAGAACCAAAACACACAACCACTTAAACGTGACTAACAGATA